AGAAAAACGTGTATTAATGCCTTTACAGTGACTCTTTCAGTGTTTTCTCATTTATCAGACTAGCTTGTAAAAGGCATGAGGAACTATGTGAATTTGTCAGCCCTTCCATTTAAAGCAGAACTCCACCCAAAAGGGGAAGTTCTGCATGTCTGCCTCCTCCATCCTCCATTGCAACATTTGGCACTTTTTTGGGGGGAGTAGCGGGTTCCTGGTTTTGACAGGTACCTGCCCCCACTTCCGGGTCAGATAGCCGTGGCCCCCATCCTAACCCTCGCACCCTGCAGACCATTGCAAGACTGCGGATCATTCCTTAAGCGCAGCTCGCTTCGCGCATGTGCAGTAGGGAACCGGCTTTGAAACCACAAGGCTTCACTTCCGGTTTTCTTTACTGATGATGCTGGTGCCAGCACTCACAGCCGATTGAAGAATCAGCTCGGAAAAGGACATTGCTGGACCCCCAGGGCAGGTAAATACCCTTATATTAGAAGTCAAAAGTATTTGTAGCTGCTGATTTTTAATTTGTTTCCACTTTAAGTTGTAAAACTCCAGACATGGAATATGAACAAGGCATATCCCTCTATAGTGTGTACTTTTCTCAATTAAGAGCGCTAAGTGTGATTTCTGTCTGCTGCTTTGTTCCTCTGTTATCAACATGAGTTACTTCTGACAGGTTTTCCTGACACCAAGACCTCCAGCAGATTGACAATCTCAGCTCTGGTCCTGTTTGCTGTGTAGAGGGGGGTGAGTCTCCTTAGTCCAATCAGCTCTCAGAGCTCTTATCACTAAGCTCTGCAGTGTGTAATTTCAGCTCTCTGCCCCTTTTTTCACACTTTCAGATAAGCTTTATAAATTCAGCACTTTGAACGGATGTGTGGAGGAGAAAACTGCAGTTAAACAGGTACAACGTATGCAGGAGGATTTGTTTCATCTGTGTGTTTCACCTGAGGTCAGTCACTTCACTGGGTATATGTAAGTGTTTACAAGCACTTTAAATTAGTGCAGTGTATGCATTGGGTAAATAACCAACATAATTACAAAATTCATACATGGACTCAAATATTTTAAATATCAGTACAAATTTTATAAATGTTATGGCTCTCTGGTATTAATGTTTAATATATTATATGCTGGAATTACATTAGAGCCATAGGTATCACTACTAAATGTGATTTAGACTGTAAGCTCTCACCAGCAGGCCCCCCCCTAATCCTCTGGTCTTGATATGTATTGCAACTGTACTGTCTTCTCTTATATTCTGAAAAGGACTGCACAGACTGCTGGCTCTATATACATTTTTTATAATAAAAATAAAATATATGTATGGATTGATTTTTTTGGCCTGTACAGGTTTGGCATTGTGTCATCATACAGACATCCTATCTTCTAGACTGCTGAAGCAGCACAGACTCCAGTGGTTAAAGACCTCTAGGCATATAATAAAAATAGCCTCCTTTACTGTATATGCTCATTACTGTAGACACTAGTCAGAGAAAGTTCATGTAGTGTATTGCTAATAGCCAACTCACAGACATTTTCAGCACTTTCTCCATGGAATATCACAAGCAGTATTGTTTGGTTCCAGGAAGGAGACAATGCTCTGTGTAGACAACATACACTTCTGCATAAAGTCTTTTAACCTCTGTTTGGCAAACAGCCTAGACAGCAACCCATCTTTTAGTTAGTGGTAAGCAGTCCATGGCCAATGTTACCCGGATAACTGAAAAAGTTGTCTGCAGACAGGATAACGAGGAACTTCCTGACCGTGCCACAATATAAAATGTTCCATTTGTACTGTTTGCATACCGCATTTTTAGCATGAACATTTTTATTCATTAATTAAAACTGCCCTAGCCCAATTTTTGTTTAAAATGGAAGTAAACTCCCACTGGACACTTGTACCTACAGGTAAGCCTATAACAAAGCTGACTTGTAGGTACAAAGAATATCACCTAAACACAGTTTAGGAGATATTCAGTGTCCCTGCAGCCGATGATTTCACTGGAACATGCGCTCTGAAGGAACGGCATATTCGTGCCGTTTATTCAGAAGTCTGTGCCGCAGCCGAGACTCCTGCGTACATGCATGAGAGTGACATCATCATGGCTCAGCCAATCAAGTGGCCAAAGGAGGGCTTCATTCTAAGGTAAGTCTTTCATAATGTGCTGGTATGTGATGCATACCAGCACATTATGACTTAATTTTGCAGATTTTATTTTTTTATATGGTTTGCTAACGCTTTAAGGGGTGGTGTTTTTGGTTTTCCTTTAATTTGGGGGTACTGTATGTTGTTTATTATTCTAGAGTGCTAAAGTGGGTTTTAGATTCAGGGGATATTATTTTAAGGTTTCCAAGTATTTAGGGGCCATACTGTTTTATTTTAAATGCAAGGCTTCATTGTAAAAATAGTAGGTTTTTGTTTCAGGATTGGCATTGTGGAGTTTTCATTTCTTTTGGGGTTTTTTTTTTTTTTTATTTTCATTTTATGTTGTTTTTTTATGTTTTTGGAGTGCTCAAAGTGCAGCATTTACTTGTTACTGACCATCTGTTCTAATAGGTGCCTTTCTTTGCAGCAAACCACTGCATCATTAAGTGCAAGAACAGTGTGCAGCTACACAACACACATTATTTCCCTCGCATTCAATGAACCCTCATCCCCATTGATAAAATAAAAGGCAAGGCCTCAGTGGCGTCACTATAGGGATGTGGACAGCACCTGGATGACACCAGCCAGAGGGATGACACCCAGCAGCTCCACCTCTGCCTGCCACCCAGCCGAGAAGATCTGTGGCTGGAAGCAGGTGCACAATTTCAAGCTGTCAGTGTATGTCACAGGGAACTATGCCACCAACATAGTCGCGTGATTACTAGATTCTCCCAAAGTTTGCCAAAAGCTCCTGGAAGCCACGAGGCTGCAGGAGGAGCTCCACATTGCAGACTGACAGTTCCGAGTACACTCTCCAACTACTTGCCTGCCGATCTCTGCACACAGCCTGACCGCTTTCCTGCCAAACTCTGCATGGTTCTCACAGCATTCTGGAGACCCTTCTACACCACTAATGTGCCTTCATCACCATCCATGAAGTGAGTGCATCACCTTTATATTTACACCTTTTATAATACAGCCTATGTTTAGATGGTTGCACCCTCTGTGTACTAGGCAACTCAGGACCTGTCCTAGAGGTGCAGCACTGTTTTCACTTAGCCTGCCTAACACCCTGCAGGCCAATGTTCCTGAATAAAACTTTCCTGCTGCTGGCCAATTTTACACTGCTGTATAATCTACAGTATCTTAACTCGTAGGAACTTAACTTGTAGAAAAGTCCAGCCTGTGTGTGTTTTTTTTCTCTTTCCTAGATTTGGGCTTGGCCTTGCTGCTTAAAATTGTCACTGCTGTGTCTTCTGCGGTCTCTGAATTTTTGTTTTTAAACAACCACCTGTACTTTTTCTCTAGCACATTTCAGTCAATTCTCCCTCATTAAAAATGGCTAATTTTACACCACTGTATCACCAGTGGTAGTTTAATTTTTAATGGAAGGTTAATACAAATTGTCCAGTGGTAGGTGTGATGGAACGTGTCGTCAGACCCCTGCCCTTCTCACCAACTCATGACCAAGGACTAGCTAATCTCTCGCCGTGCTGTCACTTGTGTAGCAATGCCACTCTCAGCTGCACCCTGCACAAAGATTTTCCAGCTCGAGGGACCACAATCTTTGTGCCAGCAGCCTGAGAGCGATTGTTATTGGGTTAGGTTAATTACACAATTAACCCTTCACACTGCCACCACCACCTTTTTACAGAGAAGGAGGAAAATCCCAAATCCTAGCAATTACACTATATTAGCATAAGCGTCTGCAACACACACTGTCACCACAGACAGGAATATTATTACATACAGTAGCAGACTTCAAGAGACAGGGATTCTTTAGTTTGCATTAAAAGCTTTACAGACCGTTTCAATAATTTTCAAAGTGGGGTTTATTACTAAAAAGGTTAAAATGGTGCAATTAAAATATTTACAGAAAAAGATGTTACAAAGACATAAAGAGAACAATGAAGCAACAGATAAATAAAATAAAGGAGTTAGGAAGGCAGAATACTTGCAAAGTCCTGGTTTAGCAGAGTCCAATTGTCCGAGCAAAAATTTTGCCTTGGCTCTCAAGTCCGTTAAGATATTTTTTGATTGATGTTAAATGAGAGCTTCCCTTCACCAGGCCTCTCAGTCCTTTTCTATGATATTAAAGGGGTGTCACCTGAGAACAGCCTCAGGACGCTCCAAACAGTCCTAGCTGGGAAAAATGTTCCACCGCCCGGGTCCGGTAACTGGCGGGATATCAAAGACTGGCACATCGGGCTGGGCACCGGACAGAGGCACATCGGGCTGGGCGCCGGACAGAGGCACATCGGGCTGGGCGCCGGACAGAGGCACATCGGGCTGGGCGCCGGACGGGCTGGGCGCCGGACAGAGGCACATCGGGCTGGACGCCGGACAGAGGCACATCGGGCTGGACGCCGGACAGAGGCACATCGGGCTGGACGCCGGACAGAGGCACATCGGGCTGGACGCCGGACAGAGGCACATCGGGCTGGACGCCGGACAGAGGCACATCGGGCTGGACACTGGATCACCAGGCGGAGCAGCAGGCACTGGGCCACCAGGCAGGGCAGCAGGCACCAGGCACCGGGCCACCAGGCAGGGCAGCAGGCACCGGGCCCCCAGGCGGGGCGGCGGGCCCCCCCCAGGCGGAGCGGCAGGCACCGGGCCACCAGCGGAGCAGGGCAGTGGGCACCGAGTCATCTGGCAAGACAGCGGGCACCGAGTCATCTGGCAAGACCGCGGGCACCGAGTCATCTGGCAAGACATCGGGCACCAAGTCATCTGGCAAGACCACGGGCACCGAGTCATCTGGCAAGACCGCGGGCCCCGAGTCATCAGGCACGACAGCGAGCTTTGAGTCAACCGGCACGACAGCGGGCTCCGAGTCAACTGGCACGACAATGGGCACCGGGTCATCTGGCTCGACAGCAGGCATCGGGTCACCAGGTACGACAGCGGGCACTGGGTCATCAGGCATCGGGTCATCTGGCTCGACAGTGGGCATCGGGTCATCAGGCACGACAGCGGGCTCTGAGTCAACTGGCACGACAGCGGGCATCGGGTCACCAGGCATCAGGTCATCTGGCTCGACAGCGGGTACTGGGTCATCAGGCATTGGATCGTCTGGCTCGACAGCGGGCATCGGGTCACCAAGCATCAGGTCATCTGGCTCGACAGCGGGCACCGAGTCATCTGGCAAGGCAGTGGGCACCGAGTCACCAGGCACGACAGCGAGCACCGAGTCACCTGGCATTAGATCATCTGGCTCGACAGCGGGCATCGGGTCACCAAGCATCAGGTCATCTGGCTCGACAGCGGGCACCAAGTCATCTGGCAAGGCAGTGGGCACCGAGTCACCAGGCACGACAGCGGGCACCGAGTCACCTGGCATGATAGGATCATTAGGCTGGATCAGTTCATCAGACTGGGTACAGACATCAGGCTGGGTAGAGACATCAGGCTGAATTGCGGGTGCCGAGGCACCAGGCTGAACCACGGAAGGCGGGTTCTCAGACGGCAGGATCACCGGTTTGGATACTGGCAGGATGGTACTGGTTGGAAAGAATTTTCGCTTTTTTCTGGTTTTAGTTACTGGAGCACTGTAAGTAAACGCAGGTCTGTAAACGAATGGAGCAGCTAAAGACAGAGAAGAGCTGGAGGATGGAACAGAGGAGGGAGCAGTTGCTACAGAGGACTTCTTTACAGGGTTAAAGAAAGGATAGGTGCAGCAAGTGGGAGCAGGGGACTGGTATGTGGTAGTTAGAGTATACTGGGCCGTCACTGGGGGTGCTGTCCGGGATGCAGGAAGAGTGCCTTGAGCAGAGGAATGATGTTGCAAGCTGACCGAGGCTGGGTGCAACAAATCAGTACATGTCTGCAGTACTGGTTGGACAAAACTCAGCTTACACATAGCCTGTCTGATCAAAGACTGCACTGCGTTTATGCAATCCATAAGCACATGTGATGGACAAGCTGCATAATGCTCATGGAAGCAATCTGGATTATCCTCCAACAACCATACCAGTGATTCCACTTGATCCACACTAAATGGGGGAAAAAAGTCATTCCTGCTTTCAGGGGTACAGGACCGAGCCAACTCAGCACAAACCTGGATTAATGGTTGCACCTCAGAAAACTCTGTGCCCTGATCTACTAGGCAATGAGCGATCCTTATACACTCTAGTAGTTGATCCCTGGGATACTCCTTCAGAGTCTGATAAGCATAGTCTTTGTCATCAAACACTAGCAGTGATAAATACACCACCTCATCAAGATCCATCCTACCCAGCAACAATAAGCCAAGATGGCTTCCCTGTGCAGCCACTTCTGGTCAGGATTGGCCTTGGTGTAATGTCAGGGCTCCGGGTATGACCAGAGGTGTGTGGACTGACACAGGGAAACGCAGGCTTCAGATATGGTATAAACAATATGATTTATTAAGACTAACAATACAAAACGCAGTGCAAAACTAAACATAAACACAGTGCAAACAAACCAAACCAAACCACCCACCGATAACAATACATACAATACAAAGAGTAGTCAGGCAGGCCGGGTCAGTAGCAAACGGGCAAACGGAGTACCAGGAACAGGCGGGAGAGTGGTCGGGGTCACAAGCTGGGTTCAGTAACTCACGGGCAGCGTGGTACAGAGGGTCGGGCAGAGAATGGTCAGGGTCACAAGCCAGGGATCAAACAGGAGAAGTCAGCAGAGGTCAGGATCAGGCAGGGTCGGCAACAAGTCAGGCAGAAACAGGAACACAGGATACAAGATACAGGGGCCCATGGAAAAACCCACACCAAGGCCCTGACTGTGAGTCTGGCCATTCCTTAAATACAACCCCTGCAATCAGCTTCAGGTGTTTGGCTGATTGCAAGGGTGAGTCTCTGATTGCTGAGAGCACCTGCTGGCCAGCCCTGGTACTGCAGCCCACAAGGCAGGTGAGTCCCATCATTATTGGCAAGTCCATTCCTGACATCCTGCCAAGACCAATTAGTGGTTTACAGCTCTGGAGCTGGCCTCTATTTGTGTTTTATTTAAGATAAGAGGCTCTTTTGAAGTTCGTTACAGCTTACAGCCACAAATTCTATTTTCAAGAGGAGAGGAGAAAGATGATTGTTCATGAAAAACAAAATGTCCGAGACCTTAACAAGATGGCTGTTGCATGCAGCTTCCATGTCTCTATTGCGCATAACCGTTACAGTAGGCCATTTTGCATCTGTGACAGCAGAAACAATCTCTTCAAACTACTGGCTAATTTCTATCTGCCAATTAAAGTAAGCCTTTTACCATTTGATAAAAAAATCATGTGTCACTGGCAAAACTACCTGAATTTTTTTTTTCAAATGGAAATGAATCAGACTGAAGTGTTTCTGCTGTATGTAAACCAGGCTAATATCAAAAGAAAAAGAAATTAAACTCCACAGCTAAATATGCACTGCCAGTGTTTGCTGTTGCTGAGACTGTCCTTGAAAATTGTACTGTTCTGTATACCACATGCAGCTTTGGACATCCGCCAAGCATGCTATTTAAAGGATTAGTGTTTTTTTTTTAAATGCTGTCTCTGTGCTGCATGATAAGATCCTCTCCCTCTGTTATAGTATTTTTTTTTTTTTTGCATTGGTAAATGTCCCCTTCCTGGCAGTGCCTAGCTTTCTATGTCTTTTTCTTGACAGTATTTTGCTTTTTTTTCCCTAAACATGTCCAGAATTTAATAATAGGATTTTCTTACCTGAGACTTTATTGGGATCTTAAGAAGATGAGATAGCTTCAGTTGTAATCAAGAGGGATAACATCCTTTATTTTGAATTGGTTCCAGACATGTGGAGAAGGAAAAAAAAATTTGTTTAATTTTAGTTTCATTATTTAAATTTTTTTTTAGCTAAATTCATTTAATTTGTTTTCAGAATTCGTTTCATTTATTCCTTTCAAATTCAATTCAACCAAATCGAAAAGTATCGAATCAGCATTCGAATTTGAATTTATTCTATTCAAAATTTGAATTTAATTATATAAAATATTCTTTTTATTCTATTCTATTTTTTTTTTCTATTATATTATTTTCTATTCTATACTTTTATTTTCTATTCTATTCTCATCTATTCTATTTTTTACTATTTTATTATTTTCTGTTCTGTTGTTCTCTATTCTTTTCTATTCCATTCCATTCTATTCTATTGTTTTCTAAATTCAAATTTTGGAAGGTGGCTCTATTCTATTCTATTTTATTCTATTCTATTTTTTTCTATTCTATTCTGTTATTTTCTATTCTTTTCTATTCTATTTTGTTTTACTATATTCTTTTCAGTTTTATTCTTTTATTTTCTATTATATTCTATTTTATTTTCTTTTGTACTTTATTCTATTCTGATCTTTTCTATTCTATTGCTTTATCTTCTGTTCTATTTTATTGTATTCTTGTTTTCGAATTCAATATCGTTTTTCTAACTCAATTTTAAATTCGATTAGAATTTTGGACAAAAAGTTATTTCAGATTAGTTTAAATTTGTTACTATTGTTTTTCGGAAATTTTAATACATCCGAATCTCCAAATAAAGAAAAATTTGTCCAAATGTTATTATTTTTGGTATTGTTTACAGAGGTAAGATTATGGTTTTTAGCCCATTTCATGATTTTTTTTTTCTTGAGGAGAGGGACAGAACCTGGGGACCTTAGGGTCTGAACAGTTCAGAAAGTGAGGATGATTTAAATTTTTTCCCAACTGGCATATCCCTAGTTGTGACAATTTTGCCAGGAATGTTGGCCCTTACCAGCACATGGCACATCCCCACTTCAAGCACAAGTACTGCTGGCTCATGCCATTAGCTCAGGATGATGTCCTACTATTTTTTGTTTTATTGTTTTTCTCTAATCAGTCATGGTTTGAAACAAACCAGCAAGTGAGGAGGAGGACTCAAGCATCAGAAAGTGGAAATCGTCTGCATGTGTGTTGCATAGTTTAGATTGTACCCCCCTTGAGGGTTAGGGACTGATGTGAATGTACAATATATATGTAAAGTGCTGCGTAAATTGATGGCGCTCTATAAGTACCTGTAAGAAAATAAATAAAGAAACAAATTATCAGATGCTAATGTTCTGGTATAGAACTCCAGATATTCTGCATGCACTGGATTGAACTATCCCAAAAAAACACTGTTGGCATTTTGGACAGGTTACGGAATTATTAATTCATATATTTTGTCATTGTCCCTTTATACAGCCATTTTGGTAGCAGGCACTTCAGGTGCTACAGCGAGTGTTAGACATTCCTGGAAATGAATGAGCTTTAACGCCAGAGTTGTGTCTAAGTATGCAAAGAAATTGGTCACTCATCTTTTGGCGGTGGCTAAGCGACTGATTCCACTCTGCTGGAGATCTAATGAAATTCCCACTTTGAATCAACTTGTCAGTAATGTTGCAGAGTAACATCGCCTTGAACACCTCACCACCATATTGACAGAACAATCAGACGTGTGATCATACCTGGTCATACTAGGATAGCTCCCCTGTATGATTTTTCTGATATTCTCCCCTCCTTGCTGATGGTTCACCTATTTCTCATTAATTAGACCTTATCAGCCATCCCTTGGGTAGGTGTGTAGTATTTTTTTTTTTTTAAACAAAATTTTTACTACAGTGTTACCAATGTTAAACTTATTCACTTTCTGTATCTTTTATATAATACAAGATATACAGTATGAGCAAGAGCAAAATCCTCTCTTGTATTAAAAGAAGTATAGACTCCAGAGAGAGAGATATTATTTCCCCCCGGGTACAAATGATTACTAATGCCTTATCTGGAATATGCAGTTCAGTTTTGCTCACCAATTCACAAAAAGAACATTGGGGAACTGGAGAAAGTACAGAGAAGGGCAACTAAACTGATAAGAGGCATGGAGGAGCTCAGCTTTGAGGAAAGATTAGAGGAACTAAATTTATTCTCTCTTGAGAAGAGAAAATTAAGGAGGAATATGATCAACATGTATAAATCCATCAGAGGTTCATATAGTGAACTCGCTGTAGAGCTATTCACCCTGAGGTCATCACAGAGGACAAGCACTTTTTACGTCTGGAGGGAAAGAAATTTAATCTCCAAATACGGAAAGGTTTCTTCACAGTGAGAGCTGTGAAAATGTGGAATAGACTCCCTCAAGAGTTGGTTCTGGCCAGCTCAGTAGATTGCTTTAAATAAAGCCTGGATTCTTTCTTGGATTCACAGAATATAACTGGATACTAACATTTATAGGTAAAGTTGATCCAGGGAATATCCAATTTCCTCTCAGGGGATCAGGAAGGAATTTTTTCCCCTACAGGAGCAAATTGGATCATGCTTTGCTGGGGTTTTTTTGCCTTGCTCTGGATCAACTGTGGGTATAGGATTATGACTTTCTTTTTTTTTTTAATGGTTGAACTGGATGGACTTTTTTCTTTTTTCAGCTATATTGTGTATGGTAACTATGTAACTTCACCTGTATGGCGCTTTTGTCTGCTAATAATGCCAAGTGCTATGCTATT